ACGGCCAATATTGAGTAAATGGACTATTCAGGTGGCCATGAAGGAAAAATCAACACTTTTCACAAGTCTACCAACGCAAAATGAAAGAGTAGACAAATTGGATTGTTCAGGACTTGACTGTATCTCATACGGCGCCTGCGATCAGAAATATATTGGCGAAACAGGGAGAAAAATTAACACACGAATCGAGGAACATCAGAGGCTCTGCAGGAAAATGGATACCGAAAGATCAGAACTAGCGGAACACGTTGCACAGACTGGACACGAGATCAATTGGAAGGAAAAAAAAAGAAGAGCTCCATACGGGGACAACACAAAGAAGCGCAAGATTAGGGAGGCAATCGACATCGTTGGGGGGAAAAATCTAATGAACAGGAGATTGGAGGAAGGTAGAGTTAGCGATAACTTTGCCTATTGCCTGAGCAAACTCGGGGAAAACAAGAAAGGAGCAAGACCAGCGGAAAGGAGACGCCTGGATCAAAGATCTAGCGCTAACCGGAGGAAAAGAGATCACGATGAAGAAACTGGGGGGAAGGGGTATTCGGCAATAAAGCAGAGACGTTGTCAGTGCGTGATGTCCATTTCGAATAAGCTAGTACAACTTTGGGGGCCTGGCAGTCAGGGAGCGGGGCAGACGGATAAGCAAACCGACATAGAAATTAGGGGTTCTGGCCAAAATGTACCAGAATTCCACTTAAGATGCCGCATGCAACCAGAGATAGGCGTCCACAGTTTGCTCCGATAACATGGGTTTAATGAAGGAGAGGACCCGTGAAGGGAATGTCTTATATATGCAAACATGGCAATCAGAGCTCAGGCGCTCTGTTCAGTGAAGCGGCAGTGTACGTGTTTCTAGGCCCTTGAGAAATAGCGCCTGAAGTGAAATGCAGACTGGGACTGGACCCGAGTGAAATCGGTCAACCAGAAAGAGAAGGAACGAATCTACGAGACCATGAGGGGATGCGGATTGGAGGCCCGAGTCGGATCAGCCGATCAAAAAAGAGGGGATTGGGGCGAATAACAAGTGTGATGAGGCCACACTAGATTTGTCAAAAAAGGGCACCCATTTTGACGAGTGGAATGCAAACAAGTGAGAAGTTGTGATAGGGCGGCAGTGGGATTAGAGGGTAAAGAGTGGATAGATAGGCCATGACAGAAAAAGGAGTGATAGTTTAACCCTTTTTCGGCAGAACGTTTGTCGACTGATTGACTTCACTTGTCTCTTTGACGAGTTCGTAGTTTGGTGCGGAGAATGGCAAAACTCACTGATGATG